CTGTACCTTCTCTTCTCCCCCGATGGCACAGTGGCCCTGGACCATGCCCGGGCTGAGGTGGCCAGGGCTTCGATTTCCAACTTGTTCAGCACCCTTGCGTCTTTGCCCTTCACTCTCAATTTTTGGTCTTCAGAGAGGATCTGGACTTGGAGAGAAAGCACCCTTCTCCTCTTATATTTCGGCAAAGTCCAAGATCTGGACAGAACCTTGGCTGGCCACAAGCGGCCTTTCCAACTGCACAGGACATACTGGGTGTCCATTGCAGTTGGAGTTGGGGGTCAGGAGGTGATTGGAGGAGGGCAGGACGCCTGGCTGTCAAAACCACCGCTAATGCAGTTCTGCCCTAAGGCTGCGTGCAGTCCTCAGGGACTGCAAAGGGCTGGCAGCTTGAGTGGCTCTCTTCCCGCCCGAGTCTCCCTGAGGTGCTGGGCTGACTGCTTGTTTTTGTGGGTGATACAGGAGCAACCTGGAGTTCACAAAAGGAAAAGCAGAAAAGTGTCAAAAGAGAAAATTCCTCTCGTGCAAGTAGAAGCACCCTGCTCTATGAGATTGTTGGGGGGATGAAAGAAGGAAACACAGAGAGCGTGTCCTTCACAGAAGGGTTTATAAATGGAAAGTACTTGGGGGAAAACAGACAAAACCCTGGAGGTGTCAGGGGGGCTCCACAACAAGGCAAATCCAACATCTTGTCCTAATTGTAAGGATTGTGCAGCTCAAAGAGCAAGCACACGAGGAAGTGGGTGTCATGCCAGGGGACCCTTTCTCGAACTGTACACATTCTGTGCCTTTTTGGCTCCTGGGGCTTCTCCCCTGGAGAATGCCTCGGATTTTCTTCTTTTCTGAGGGGTTTGTGCCGCCCTGCCCTCCTGCAGGAGGTGTTTGTGCAATGTCACGTTCAAGAGCTTCCACGTGGAACCCAGGGGTTTGTGAAGGTCCTCCTGCGGATTCTTCCTGCCTAACGGGGTGAGGAAGAGCACACTGGTTCAGGCACTGGTCTCCAGCTGTGGCCTGAACTGCTGTCTCGTGGTTTACATCTTCTGTCTTCCAATACCAAATCTGTGATTCTTACCGTGAAAACAAGGGTCTGAACGAACAGCAAGGCGCAACAGAGGGCTGTGGGAGAGGCTTACCCAGGGTCACGAAGGTCCAGTCCCACATCTGCTGCTGCAACTCCTCACCTGCAGAACCTTCACTCTGCCCCGTGCCTCCAAACTGCACTCTTCCTCCAGGGACTCCAGGGCACCCAAATGCAGATGGCCACGACCTGTTGCCCTGTGATGCTAATCTGGAAAACCCAAAAACAGGTAGGGAAATAAGCCGACTGTGTGTGACTACCTTCCCCATCTCTGGAATGCATGACTTCTGCAGCAGAAGCCATGTCCTAATGTCACCCATAATGCAGATGTCACATTTATTTTCTCGCATCTCTTGCATTTCAGAATATATCCACCTTCTTCCACTCAGTATAACGTGATCGCCTCTCTTGCAGGAGAGGAGGAACTACACCTTTCAGGACCTCATGTGCCTTGGCCACATAGATTTCCTATTATCAGTCTGGGTGCTGGAGGGTGTGTGAATCAAAAAATGGGGTTTGTCTGACTCTAGAACACATTAACCAGGCTTGCTGAGAACGTGAAATGCATAGGAAGGTCTGCCAAGGGTTAGCATGCAGCAGCCACTCACTCGAGTTTTTTTTAATTTATTATTTGTTCTGTTTGGGTATACATGGCAGTACAATGTACGTTGACATATCGTACATACATGGAGTATGGCTTCCCACTGTTGTGTTTGTATGTAATATGGAGCTACACTGGTCCTGTGTTCATACGTGAACAAAGGAAAGTTATGTTGATTCCTTCTACTGACTTTCCCTTCCCACGCCGTCCCTCCCCTTCATCCCCCTTTGTCTAATCCAAAGTACTTTTACTCTTCCCCGCCGCCCCCCCCAACTTAATGTGTGTTACCATCTGCAGATCAGAGAGAACTTTCCGAGCCACTCACTCTTAGTGGAAGGACCTGTGTGCTTCCAACATATTACCTGCACATTCAGGCACACGCTCTCACACAGGTGTGTGGAACCAGAGTTCCGATCATAGGAGCATTATGACACGCATCTTCTTGTGAAGGGCCATTTTCCAGCATCACTGTCGTAAATGCCAAACTTCAACCACAGAAACTTCCAACCTTACTGAAAAGTGTAGGGCAGCCCATGAAATCGTTCCCATGATCCTTCTCTTCTTACTCTTCCACCCCCAAATACGCAGTGGAAACCCTCTAGTTCTACCCATTGCACAAACGCGTTTTATTCCTCATTTACATTTTTCACCACGAATGGATTACTTCAAACAAATGGTGCTGGGAAAACTGGAAACCCATGAATGAACTTTAACCCCTATCTCACCCTGCCAAAAAAACTCAAAGAGAATCAAGGACCTAGACATCAGACCAGAGACCTCGCATCTACTCCAAGAATATGTAGGCCCAGCTCTCCATCATGTGGGCTTAGGGACCGACTTCTGTAACAAGATGCCTGAAGCACAAGAAGTAAAATCAAGAATCAATAAATGTGAAATTACCAAACGAAATTGCTTCTTCTCAGCAAAGGAAACAATGAAGAGGGAGCCTACATAATGAGAGGAAATCTTTGCCATTGGCACCTCAGACTGAGCACTCAGAGCGTTAATCTCCAGGACATATAAAGAAATCAAAAATTTAACACCCAAGAAACCAATAACCCAATCAATATATGGGCAAAGGAATCGAACAGGCACTTCACAGATGAAGAAATACAAAAAGTCAACAGATATATGAAAAAAAAAATGATCAACGTCTCTAGCAATTAGAGAAATGCAAATTAAAGCTACACTGAGATTCCATCTCACTCCAGTCAGAATGGCGATTATCAAGAACACAAGTAACAATAAATGTTGGCTAGGATGTGGGGAAAACGTTCACTCATACATTGCTGGTGGGACTGCAAGTTGGTGCAACCACTCTAGAAAGCATCATGGAGATTCCTTAGAAAACCTGGAACGGAAGCACCATTTGACCTAGTTATCTGGAAGGACTTCACATCAGCACACTAAGGGGACACAGCCACAGCAAGGTTAGGAGGTCAATTCACAATAGTTAAGCTATAGAACCAGCCGAGGTGCCCTTCAACAGATGAATGGATAAAGAAAATGTGGTGCATATATACACCATGGAACAACACTGAGCCATCATGAAGAAAGAAAATTTGGCATTTGCTGGTAAAGTGATGGGTCTGGAGGCTATCATGCTAAGCGAAATAAGCCAGTCCCCCAAAACCAAAGGCCACAAGTTCTCTCTGATAGGTGGATGCCCACACACAACAAGAGGAGGGGGGTGGAGAATAAAAGTTCACTGGATTGGACAAAGGGGAATGAAGAGAAGGGAGGGGGATAGGAATGGGAAAGACAGTAGAATACATTCCTATGTTCATATGTGAATACATGACCAGTGAATCTCCACATCACGTACAACCACAAGGATGAGATCCTAGTTAGAATCAGTTATACTGCACATGTCTAAGTCAAAATATACTGTTATGTGTGTCTAAAAAGAACAAATAAATAAATAAAAGATATAATAGATGACATTGAGGGAACATTGCTGTCGTTGTCATGACGAATTTTGTTTTCGTTCATTTGTATGCGGTGCTGAGGATCAAACCCAGTGCCTCACACATGCAAGGCAAATGCTCTACCACAGAGCTACGGCCCAGCCTGATGTCATGATGAGTTTTATCCACATGCACCTTGTGTGTGATTGAGTCTTCACGTGCTTCTGTAAGATTTCATGCTCTGGCAAATTCTACACAGCTCCTTTTAAAACATGTTGCATGTAGTGTGTGAAGTAGTCCACGGATGTGACCTCTCTGTAACACTTATGTGGTGTTTTGTACTATTTGTTATCCTGGAGGTAATGTGACCAAACATACGTCTGGGTCCTAGAATCCATTTTCCTCACGCTTTATTATTTGTCTCTTCTTCAATACA